ATTAGGCCCAACTTGATATGCAGTGGTAGTAATAAAATTTTTTTCGAATCTACTAATGGCATATGCAGTACATTTTTTTGACCTGGCTCTAGGAATTGACGAACAGGCCAGTTTTGTCTGGTGTAATGAAGTGCCTTTGCCCGACTGTCCCATTCACACAAACAACATCAAAACTTTGTGTAGCCTAGCTGCAGCCCAAGTAAAAGTGCAACAACTTTCAAATCGCCACAAATATGCCATTGGTGCTCATCGTATTTTATGCATGTCAATAGGTACTTCATATTGTCATACGATTCTTTCATATGAACTGCATACCCTACAGGAAGAGATGGTAAAATATTTCCAATATGCAATAACGCTGCCTTTAAACTCAATGTTGAACTGTCTATAAACAATCTCCATTCTTCTGGGTTACGCTTTATATTTAAAGCCGCCAGTAAGCCGTTAATGTTACTGCAGAAAACCAAGTTATTCTCCATATTGAAAAATGGTTCTAAGTCTTTGTGGCGTTTACGAAAAATACATACCGAAACATCCTCTTCTAACAAGTTCCACTGCTGCAGTCTTGATCCAAGTAACTCTGCCTTACATTTTGGAAGTTCTAAATCTCTTACAAGATCATTTAATTCTGACTGTGTTATTTTGTGCGGTTGGTGGCATGACGTGCTCGGTATAAAATCAGGATCTCTTGACGTTGATGGCATATCTTCTTCCTGACGAATCACTCGATCGCCATGATCTGATTCGTTTTCTGATTCGCAAGTGTAGGATTCTGGGGGTTTTGGAACAGGATTTTCGTCACTGTGAGGCACAGGTCTCATCGCAGATGGTATGTTTGGGTAGTTAATAACCGATTTTTTTTTTCTTGGACATACCTGTGGCTTGTCCAACACAAGGTACCATGCAAAAGTAACAATCATTAATATGATTTGCAGGCTCTCTCCAAACCATTGGGGCAGCAAAGCGCATAGACCGTTTTTTGCCATTTAACCAGCTCCTCAGACTTGAAGCTCATGTATTACAGCAGATGTGGGGTGCCCACTGTTTGTCTTGATCACCTAGTTTACAACCGAAATAAAGCTGATATGCCTTTGTTATTAGTGGAGTAATAGACCGTCTCCGAGACGCAAAAGTCACATCACCACACACGTAACAAAACTGATCTGGATTGTTTACACACTTTCGAGACATCTTGCATGAACGCTGTCAGCCAACTGAGGAAAAAATGTCTAATATAAAACAATATAATGTACACGTATGTATAACGTAACACAATCATGCCGATTACATCATCTTTCCTTGCCGAATATAAAAATGTAGCACGTGCATTCTTGTGAATTACAGTATATTAACACTGTCACAGCAGGAACACATATAATTACCGTATCTCTAAAACTTGAGCTAATATTGAAAAAATAAGTTTCATTCCGGTTTTAGCACATTAAAAATAGTAATATTTTGTTGATTTTATTTAGGATATTTTTTGGCTGTTGATCAGTGATACAGGTATTATTACTCCGGCTCTATGATGTAGTGAACAAAGCAAAAACAGCATATTCAGCATATACAGAATTCGTGCGTCAAATTTTCTTATGGAATACGAAAGTTTGATCATGTTACTCTTAAATTCAAGGAGCTTGTAGTTGGTGCGGAAATCTGAACAAACACGTGAAGTTGAAGATTTGTAAAGGTCGAGACGTGTTAGAACTGTTCGTACTCCGGAAAATGTCGAGAGAGTTCGTGAAAATGTAGTGGAGCGCCTTGAGACGTCTACTAGACATCATTCTCAAGAACTGGTCAAACAATATTTCCGGGACGTTTAATTTCTCGATTTGGTGATGTCAATTGGCCACCAAGGTCACCGGATTTAACAGCTCCTGACTTTCTTTATGGGAATTTTTGAGAAATAGGTTTTATGCCATCAAACCAAATATTGTAGAGCAGCAAAAGAACGATATCACGGAAGCGATTGAAAATATTCCTTCCGAAACCTACCATAAAGTGATGGATATTGTACTCAAGAGGGCTCAGATTTGCGCGGCTCCTGGAGGCAGACATTTGTCTGATATTATTTTTCATACATGATTTCTAAGTTTCAATAAAGGATTAGGATGAAAAAATGGGCGTAATTTATTTCATTTCACAAATATTCAAGATAAAAAACCAGTCAGTTACATATCGGCCACCCTGTACAAAGAATCATTTAGTTACAACGCTATAAAATTATATAATGATCTACCCCAGCTACGTTCTAAAATAACACACTATTTAGTTTTAAAAGGGAATCGCTAAAGCTGCTGGCCGAGGCCTGATGATGAACACAAAATGCGTTGTTAATTAATTGGTTATTATTAAATAATATGCACAAATTTCTATTAGTTAAGTATCATATTATCTTCGCTTTTTTGTGCTTGTATGAATTAAAGCCGACTTATTATTATCATTATATACCATAAAGACTAATTACAACAATTTTTGTTTCAGGTAAGAAAATAAGATCAGCATATCGGTTACTAGTAAGTATTTACCGTTAACTTCAATGTTGTCCATGAAGTATGTCTCTAGACTTTTCTCTCCGATGTCTGAGTTAGAGTGTCATGAATGGCAGAATAACATTAAAGCTGAAAAAAGTTGTCTAACCTGTCAATGCGTTAACCCGAATAATCCGTATTTCATTGCATCGTTAGATACGAGTGGAACCTTCCAGATCAGGAAGACTGATATAGCAGCGGAACCCCTTCACGGCGCCAATGACGATCATATGTAGGATTATACTACAACTATTTAAAACTGTAATGACCCATACGCGTAATCAACACGTGATCAGAGGTCGATCCCGGCTTCCTTCCAGTACAGCCGTATAGCGTACGACATATGTCGCTTCTGTGGCTTTGCGGTGGTCAACAGCACAGACAGAGATGGAAATAACGGCTGATTGTTCTCCGCCGGTAGAATCAATGAAATCAAAGACGCGCCTCGACCGGCAGACTCATAGGCGTCGGCAACGCATTGGAACGTGTTTCGTTGAGCGATCGCATATTGTGTGTTTTTATAAGAATTGTTGTGTGATTGTTATTGTTGTGGTTTCTGTGGTTACTGTTTTGGTTATACTTAACCATGGAGAGTACAAATGGCACGAGTGGAAGTACTGAAAGCCAGGGAACAAGTAGACGGCTTCGTAAAGCACTGAAGAGGGACGCGAAAGAAATCGTGCTCAATGTGTTCAATTATCTGAACAGAACTATGTCGCAGGGAGATGCACTCGCGCGTTGTGAAAGTATGACAGGCGTTCCAGAGTGGACCATTCGCAGGCTGGTGCATGAAAAGAAGAAAACTGGAGCTACTACAAAGTTTAATTTGAAGGGACGAAAGGCCGTTAAATTGAATGAAGATAGCAAAATGGCGTTAAGGCGAACCGTACATTCATTCTTCTTTAGGAATGAGATACCAACCCTCAAGGCTGTACATGCAGCGATCAAGGAAAATGAAATTATACCCCAAATGAGGAAATCCCTGCACGAAATTAATTTTCGTTACGCAACGCGTAATCGAAAGTCAGTATTGATAGAAAGACCTGAAATAGTCGCCTGGCGTCGAAAATACCTACGCGAAATGATTGAATATAGGCGACAAAGCAGAAAAATCTATTATTTGGACGAGACATGGGTAAATGCAGGTCACACAGTTAAAAAAACCTGGATAGACAAAAACGTAGTGAGTAACCGACAAGCAAGCATTGAAGGTTTGTCAACAGGTCTTCGTGGACCGTCAGGGAAAGGTCAAAGATTGATCGTAACTCATATTGGTAGCGATAGTGGCTTTTTAGAAGAGTGTGACTTGATTTTCGTCTCTAAGAAAGGAGGTGATTACCATGACGAAATGAATGCCAGCTGCTTCGAGAGCTGGTTTCAAGGAGTGCTTCAGCGAGTTGAGCCAACTCTGTGATCGTCATGGATAATACTTCCACCATAGTCGTCGAGCCGAACGTGTACCGACTATGGGATCTCGAAAAAGTGACATGCAGCAATGGTTGCGCGAAAAAGGAATCCCGTTTGACGATTCATGTGTGAAAGCGGAATTGTATGAAAAAATTAAAAAGCACAAACCTGCGAACATTAGTTACGTGACTGATGAGATGGCCCTTCAATGTGGTGACACTGTGCTGCGGTTACCACAATACCACTGTGAACTGAACCCAATAAAGCTCATTTGGGCTCAAGTGAAGGGTTATATTGCGCGCCATAACACAACCTTCAAATTACCAGACGTTAAGGTTTTACTTGAGACTTCCATACAGCTAGTAACGCCCGAAGCTTGGCAGAATGCTATCCGTCATGTTGTGAAGGAAGAAACAAAAATGTGGCAGCTCGACCACCACATCGACACCATCATAGAGCCAGTTATAGTCAATTTCAACGAGGAAAGCGATAGCGACAGTTTATTACTGTCAAATGTAAGTGGAAGCGACGATGAATAAAGGTAATTCCCAAATTTTTGACTTACAATATGTTTCAAACCACTCTTTATTAAGCATGTGACAAATCTAGTTCACCCATGTTAAACATTCATACCCCGCCTATGAACAGCCGACTACTGGTAGTTAAGTGATGTTCACGTGAACATCGATGAGTCATTACAGTTTTAGATAGTTATAGTATAGTAACCGAATTTAGAATTGTCGTTAAGCAACTGTCAACGAAAATAGTTCTAGTAGACTATTTGAGACGTTTCATAGACGATCATACGTATTGCCACGAACACCCTGTAACGCATTATACGCGCCACATAGGCGCCATATAGGTCGATAGATACTCCAAAGTGAATGGGCTGAGAAATGTGCACATCGTCGGCAAATAATGCATAATCTGCAATGGTGTATTATTCGCCACCGGTAGGGGTTCTATCGGTTGATTGTTTTCAGTGATCACTTCTGATTACTCAAGTCAGCCCAGACCCTAGACGACTAAAACGAGGCTCAACAACACCTACTCCCTACAATATTATAGCGTTTTGATGATTGAGGATTCATACAGCGTTTCACTAGTTGTAGCCATCAGCGTTGACAAAGGCATAATGTCCACCACAAGTTCGGAGTGTGTTTTTGCTGGGTATCCTGAAAGTTGGGACTAATTTGAGGCAAGACAACACAGAAATCGTAAAAAAAGAAATTTAAGAAAAATACTCACTATTTATTTTTAAATACTACGAGTTTGTCTACCTTTTCCTGAATTTGATGCTTTTGAGGCTGTCTAGGCCTTTAACAGTGTTCGACCAGACGGAATTTGTACGATATAAACGAGAACATGCAGCTCGGATCGAAAAAAACATCGAGGACAACGGCGACATTCTTAATACAGACGCGAGTTATCAAAATGGCCTTAAAGATGCTCACATCAAATCGGTAACTACGTTATTGCTCTAGGAATATGCCAATTTCGCCTTTCCTGATTTGAATACTAACACATATAGTCTTAGGCCCAATTCCACCAACATTAATAAAATAGCTTATCGAAATGCAATTTGACAGAAGCTATCAAAGGTCTCAGAATATGAGTGATTTCTATTAAAATATTGAATAAAATCATGGAAATTCGACTGTATTATAAACAAGACCACTTTTTGATTCCAACATGATGCTTTTGTACAGAGAAAACAGGTCAACCTTCATGCATTTTGATTTGTGTTATAAATTTACATTCAACAATCAGTTATCCCCAAAGCCAATGGCTATGCGGAAAATAATAGGTCGATTTTCTAGCTGTTAAATTTAGCAGCAGATTTGGGCGTTTGTTAATGCATGGCAAATCTCGAATTTAAGTTCAATATACTGTTATCATTACACATCTGTTGAATAGTGCGGATTTATCTGCATTTTGCAAGAAAATAGAATATAAAATACATTTCATCCAATTTCTCATCTTTCGTTACATCATAATAGTAATCATTCATTAATTTACAAGTTAACGAATTTCTTCAAAGCCATAAAAACATTGTCCTCTCCATCCTAAAACACAGATAATATGTGTAAGACGTGTCAGTCCCTACATTTCTGTGATGCATAATGCAGTTACTATGGACATAGACAAAGAAATATGAAAAATGTCTCACAAATAATGTCTTTTAAGTCCAAAAATCACAAAAACTATTAATGTTTATTGTTTGATTGCCTTTTTCACTGTATCATCAAATTGATGAACAAAGATAAGAAAGCTCTGATATATCTACGTACAGCGGATTTTTCATGAAAATTTACTAGGTATCATGATTATAACCGTCTTTGGTAGATTGTTCGATCCGGAATGGGAAAGATCTCCTATTTTGCGGCGTCATGGAAATAATTTTAAATTTTCATTTGCATTTTTTTCAAGTGTTGTGCAACGATTTTGGGAAACACTCCACGAATAGTCTTATGAAGCATAGTAAAGTATATTTCCACAGTTGGCGGAGCTTACTCCACTGTTACCAGGGTGGTGAAACGGGATGTTAATGCACAATCTGGCAACCGTGTCGCACTCTCACAAAATGGCGGCTGACAACCACACAAGTTACCGTGTTGTCATTGAATAGCATGGAATTAAACCTTCAGAGTATATGTTTTGTGACTGGTACCAAGAGTTGACAGATCCCACACATGTGTCACCCCTTGAAATGCAATAATCAGCTGTATTCAAATAACGTCTAATATAAATATAACCTAGAATGTGTACTCGTGAAAAAAGAAAAATATGGAATATTTGTAGTTTTTTTGCAGGTTTTAGGCTTGCTGGTAGCTTTAAGGCATATATTTGGGAATTTCTTAATCGCTGTGAATATAGTGTGGATGTTTGTTCAGTTCCTGAACAACGAAAAATAGTCAACTTTATGGATGTATGGATATCAAAAAACCTGAATGGTGTTGCGGGAATATCAATCTAAGGTGCCATAATGGTTCTGATGAACGGCAAGTAAATGACTGAATGTTTGGAAACGAGCAATATCTTTTGGTAGAGCCTGTCATCAAGTAGGTACTTAATGACTATCTGCAAGAGGTTTATAAGAAAACACCCAGTAGATGATCTTGAATCAGTGGAATCGCATATCAATTGAAGAAAATAATATAAACATGAATAAAAAGTCAACAATAGTAATTAAAACACGAATTTAATTCAAAAATCAAACATTTCTTTAATTTTTGACTGAATTATATGTAATTTCTTGAAATTCAATAAGCTGGTGATGTTTCAGTGACAAGCTGTCATCATATACTTTGACAGTATTTTGTTTTCAACATTTCATAGCTATTGGTTGCTAAAATTTGTTAATAGAAACTTGAAGCTCATTCGTTGTATTTGACGGACTCTTACCCTATTGGTGAAGAATAACGGAGTGGTGATTTGATAACCTTGGTGAAATCGACCCTTAGTATAACATTTTTTGATGTATTGCAGTGTCTTACTGGCTCATTTAAAACTTTTTATAATCTAATATCTCGGGTATCTTAAAGCTTTGGTATATATGGTAAAAGACATGCTTATTACTGCGAGACCTATAGGCTCGGTAAAGGAAAGTCCCTACTTTGAGGACACCCTATATAACTGTCCCCTGCCCCCTCATTGTTGGTCAATTCTAACAACATAGAAACAAATAAAGCGAAAAGGACTATGTACAAACCACAAGACACCCAAAAAACGTTGACAACTAGAGAACCACTCAGACAGTTTTGACAAATGGATTTTGTAAAATGATGTTTGAGTCATAACCATAAGAATGAAAGTTTAAAATTACGGCCTTCAGGGACATCGCAACTATGAACATGACGTCAAGTTGTATGCTGGGTGACAAAAAAAAGGTAAACACATACGTATGTTTATCCGATTTTAATAATTTTTGGCATATACGTTCAATCTCCATTACTTGTAAAATGATTGAATTTTCAGCTTGATTCGTCAACTGACTGCAGAAGCTGGTTCAATAATGTGTTGAGGATCCACGGTTACACTCATTGACATACCTGGGCATCGTACTGCTAAGGTGGTCGATTTCCTGTTGGGGTATCTCATTCTAGGCTACTGGTGAGTTAGATCTGATAAGTCTGTGGAGGATGTTCAATTGAAAGAAGTGTAGACACTGTGGTTAGGTGTTGTCGGGCATGGCTTCCAGAAGGCCGTACGCAAAGAGCACGGGGCACTGGACGCCGCCGTAGAACAACAGACCGTGAAGATCGCCGCCTAAGATTATTGGCCTTAAGGGACCGTTTCTCCACTACCAGGTCCATTGCAAATGAATGGTTTGCAGAACACGAAAGACCTATTGGCATGCGAAGTGTTTACCGACGAATGAGAAGTTTTGGCTTGTTTTCATTCCGGCCACACTGGGTCCTCCCTTTATCTCGAGAACACCGACGTAATCGCCTTGAGTGGTGCAGACAACGGTCACTCTGGGATCAGGAATGGAACAGTATTGTCTTTAGTGACGAGTCTCGATTTTGTTTAGGCATGCACGATGGTCGTGCCAGGGTTAGAAGGCGACGTGGTGAAAGGAGGAATCCACAGTTTTTTGTTGAAAGACATGTTCATCACACTGTTGGAGATATGGTTTGGGGTGCTATAGCTTATGGTTCCAGGTCACCTTTAATCTTCATCAGAGGTTACATGAACGCGCAGCGTTATATCCACGAAGTTCTAGAACCCCATCTTTTACCCTATCTTGACACCCTGGCAGATCCAACTTTCCAACAAGATAATGCTCGACCACATGTTGCAAGAGTCACAATAGACTTCTTTCAACATAATGATGTCACATTGTTACCATGGCCACCAAGATCTCCCGACTTATCCCCAATTGAGAACGTGTGGGATATGATGGGTAGCAGATTGTTCAATTTGCAACGTCCTCCTCAGACTCTAGAAGCACTTCGAGAGGAGTTGGTGGTTGCCTGGAATGAGATACCACAGGAGGACATTGACCACCTGATCAGAAGCATGTCTAGGCGCGTTGGAGAATACGTAGCACATCAGGGTGCATCCACATATTATTAAAGGTCAAAGGGCTTTAAAGCCGTTGCAATCATTTTGAAATTTTTATCATTCACTTATTATGCTTCATTAGGTACTTATACAAAATTTTATTAAAATAAAACCATTTAAACTGGGTGTGCGGATTTATATGACACTTAGTATACATGAGGTTCAACCTTGACAAACCGCAAGTATGCCATTTAAAGATGAAAGTTACCTGTACGCTATATTTTTGTAAGTAGTGACAAAAAGCTTTAAAACTAGTTTTCATGGGCTAACAATTCTTAAAGATGGCGGCCAGTCATCATCTTGAAACTGGGAACTATGACTTTTTCGTTCATCCCCGAATTTCGCTTTGCTAACGTGACAAATTCAAAAAATAAGTCCTGAGATCTCTTCAAAAAACACTGTGTGCGAATCAACTTGAAAATTTTCGAAGCTGAACGATCAGAAGAACTAGTAGAAGTGTTGAATTTTAATACATTCGTTTTATAGTGAATTCACGAGTCTCTCCAGCTCCGCGCCATTGTTGACGTGCCGTTTGGAATCAGAACAAATTATTGTGAATGTTTTAACTAAATATTTGTATGGCTACGCATACTTTTTGAATCGTTTAAAATGTATAATTGCATTTTCATTTATTCATTTTCCTTTTTCAAACGTGTATCGAATTAAAGTGGTGAAACAATATATACATTTACGTACGTTTTGTAATTCATTCAATTTTTATTCGGTTATCATTCTATATTCTGTAAATTAAATTAGTTCGCATCGTCATATACCCGAAAAATAAATATTTCAGTTTGTGGGATGCTCTCTCTCTCAACAAACCTTCCTGTCGTTTCATACATATTGATGCCTAGTTACAAAGCGGTCGCTTTATTCTTTATGGTTTGGGTATACATCACCACCACCACTACTACCAGATTTTTTCTTCTTTGTCCACAAATCGACTTGCATTGTCGGGGTAACTCGGTACTGCCAATACCGTTCGACTGGTCTAGAGTGTCATTCACCTGATACTCATTTTTGCAGTCATGTAATCACGCATCTGCGTGCAGAAAGTAGCACTTTTCGACACGCTTAAGTTTTACAACAAGTTTTCATAATCCAAATA